CCTTGTACATGGCGGTTATACAGAAGAAACCAAATGTTATCATCTCACCCCTAGGCTACAGAAACAAAAGTGTCCGTTAGTAATTCCAGCCTAACCTCCATGGCTATGTCTTTCAGTAGTTATACATGGGCTCTAAAGCAGATGAACTGGGTCTTGACCTAGCTTTTTCATTTCTAGTTGTATAAAACCAGGTAAATTAGCACCCTTTCCAGGTCTTAATTTTCTAATCTCTAAAAGGGCAATAATATTCATATTTATCTCATGAAGTTGTAATGAAGATTAAAAGAAATACGGTGTGGGAAACCCTTACCTTGGTGCTCACCTGTACTAAGCTCCTCAGCAAATAATAGCCATTGGTATTGATCATTCTAAACCTCTGCCCTTTTAGGTAATCAATATCAATGCTCTTTTAAGAAGTTGTCTTGATGAGAAAGAATACAAAGGCTTAGTAAAAGGTTGTATCCTCAACAGGAATTATTCTCAGTGGTCTTTAGAATAATGAAAGCAAGCAAAAGGAGACCAAAAAAGATTTTGGATTTGTAACAGATTTGGAGTTAGAGTGACAAATCACCCCTGTCTATCTGGGACTGAGGGATTTCCAGAAGACTAAAATGGGATTTAGTCTTTGCTCCTTCAGTTGTCAGAGGAGATGGGACATTTCCTCCCAGGAGAGGGCAGCGATGCAGGAAAGGTGTTCATCTATTCTTTCTCCTTTGCTTCCCACCATCTGACCGGGACCCTGGGGTCTGGGACAGAGCATGCACAGCCCAGGCTTGTGAAAAGGCCAGCCTGCTGCCTCCAGCTTAAGCATGCGCTCTTCATACCCGCAACAAGGCAATAAGGGATTTTAACCAGTCAAGCTCTGGAACCATCTGGGAGATCAGTTGTTGAGGACATGAGGGAGTAGGAAAGTTCAGGTTGAAGAAAGAAGGAATAGGAAGATTTATCTGCTCACAGATCTAGACACCATTCTCCAAACAGCAATCCCAGTAATAAAGCTGATATTGTGATTTCTATCCGACATCTGTGTCTATTTCTAAATTGGTTCAGAACTCAAAAGGGGAAAAAATGATATAATAATTATCACTTTCATAAGCCTCAACAGAAGGGTGGATGCCTATTTTATTTCATTGGCAAATAAACCCATTTTAGGCAGAAAGGGAAAGGATATTTTGCAGAATCAGTGAGGTTCAAATTTGGAGTGACCTTAAAGGTGACCTGGTGCAAAAGCTTCATGGTTATAGATGAAAAGGAAGTATAAATAAAATCACCAAGTGACGTAACTCATGGAAAAAACTTAAAATTCAAATTATTAGTGAGATTAACAGTTTGGAGAGTAGTCTTTAGTAGCCATGACCAGAATTAAAAATAGATAATATATAACACCGAAAATAGATAAAGATAGATTATAGAAAATAGATTATAGGGCCGGAGATTTAGCTCAGTGGTTCCTCAGCCTGCCTCACAAGCACCAGGACCTGAGTTCGATCTCCGGTACCAAAAAAAAAAAAGAAAGAAAGAAAGAAAAGAAAATAGATTATGGTTTAAAATCAAGTCCACAGAGAGAGAGAGGTTTCCCTAAATATAGCACATTCAGGAAATATCCTTAAACCATAAAAGCAAAACAAAATAAAAAAAACAGTGGTTCAAGGCTGAATTTTTATTTAATTGGAAAAAAAACCCCCTACCTTAAGTCAGTAAAACTGCTTACCTACAACCTAGAATACTAAGTAAGGTGACCAAAGAAACAAGCTTTTCTCCCTGACCTCCTGCCCATCTCTCATAATCGGATTTTCTTCTGTAGCAACATTAATTTCATAACTGCTAACTGTACATGCTCCACTAATGAAGCAAGGTCCCTGAATATCTTGGACCTGTGACAGATGGGACCTTTGGCCAAACATGGCCATTTCTAGTTTTACCTTTGTCTCTTTCCCATTATCCTGCCCAAGAGAGCATCTAGACCTACCTAAATTGTATTTAGAAAGTGTCCAGTCCTGGGGAAACCTGTATCCCTCTCACTCTTTCACTGAATACTGCTGTAAAACCTAGGCACAATTCATGGAACACTACTTGAGGATTCTGAAAAGTAAGCAACAGAGGGCAGACTGGAGAAGAAGAATAAAATTTGAAATACTGCCTCACCAACGAGTTTCTCGTTTCCCCCTCCTCTCATAAACTCAGGCCTCAACTCAAGATTCCAGAAACAGGCACCAGGGTGCAAACTGAGACAGCTGCTGGAGACACCATCTGGTTCTGGCTGTCACAGAGGGAAAGAGAATTCTAATGCACAGTATGGATAGCCTGCCTTCCTTCCCCCTCTCCTCCTCCCTTTCTCTCCTTTTCTTCATCTCTTCTCTCCCTCTCTTCCTTCATTCCACACTCCAGCCCCAGAGATCTTGCACTATTGGCAGCATCAAGCTGCAGGAGCCAGAACTATGAGGGAGCATCCTTACCCTCCCCTCCGCTGGGTGGCACTATTGTTCCCAAAGGCCGGAACAACAAAGCCACCCCACCCCCACCCCCAGCACTATTTTTCTCTCTTCTGTCTGCTTGGCTGATATGTAGGGAAAATCACAAAAGCCTGGGATTGAAAAATACAGGGAGCTAGAAAGGATCCAAGACAACATGGGAAGGAAGGAGCTTGGAAAAGCAACCTTAGACAGCTTCTTTGATAAATCCCTCAGCTTGGCCTCTGCTGGTGCATGCATGGATATAACACCAGTGAGCTACAAAATCTTGGAGAACCCCATCCAAGTGCCAGACTGATCCCTGGGAGACATGCACTCAGGACAGAGCCAAGCTGCAAGGCCAAGGCTTTGAAAACTGCAGTGACATAGGAAAACAGCTCTCAGAATACCATTACTGAATGAAACTTGTGGGGCTGAACTCAACCAGGCTGACTGCCCGCTACAAGAGAAATATCAACAATCTCCATGGGCTCTAAACAAGACTTAGAGCCTCATAATATTCAGAATATATGGAGTACAATCTGAAAGCTGTTGGCCTATCAGGAAAATCTCAGTTCTCACAGAGAAAGATAATCAACTGCAGCTAACACTACAATGGCACAGAGGTTAGAATTATCTGACAGAGACTTAAAAGCAGCTATTAAAAAAGTTCCAACCAGCAATCACCAACATTGCTGAAACTAATGGAAATAGAAATGCTCAGCCAGGAAATAAATGACATAAGGAAGCGCTAAATGGAAATTTTAGAATTGAAAAATATAGTAACCAAAATAAAACTTTACTGGTGGATCAGTAGCAGAATGAAGATGACAGGAAAAGAAGCCACGGGCACACAAACTTATAACCTGGGGGGCCTATATTACCATTGTGTTTTCATGCATTGTTCCCTCTGTTTTAAATAGACACTGTTGTATAACAAACCACATCAAACTCTAGAAACTCAAACTAGAAAATATTTGTTCTACCAATTCTGTAGCAGGGCTGGGCAGGTTTTCTGCTGGTCTTGCTGGGATCTGTTCATAGTTCTGTATTCAGCTGAAGGTTGAGTTGAACCTAGAGGCCCAAGATAGCCTCACCCATGCCCTTGACGGTTAGTCCTGGGTGTGGATTGGGGAAACCTCATTCTCCATGACTTCTAACTCTGTTAGGCGAGACTAAGCTTCTTCACAGCATGGAGGTCTTGGAGTTCCAAGGCAGATGCCACAGTCTTGTTAAGCCTGGCCCTGGAACTCAAACACTGCAACTGTCATATTCTACCAGTCAAAGCAAGCCATAAGGCCAGCACAGAGATGAAGTCTTAAAAAAACAGACTGTCTCTGGGTGAGATGAGCAGCCATATGATCTGGCAAAATGGCCTAGCTCCAGGGAGGCCCAAGATCCCATGGGTCATTACTTCAATATTCTACCATGCCTACCTGGGGAATTAATGCAGCAAAGCTCAAACACCACAGATGCACAATGATTATGGAAGTAGGAGACTGAGGCTTAGTGGAGTTTAAGGTCATGCAGTTAGTTTGCCTAACATCACATGATTAGTTAAGGAGAAAGCATGAAACTGGATCTCACAACTGCTAATCCTCTGACCAGGACTCCTGCCTCTGAGATGAGCTGCTCAGCTTTTCCACAGTTTGGCTATTTGACAGGTGGAAGAATAATGGACAGTATTGTGCAATGTGCAAGCAATCATTCATCATTCAGATCCATTTTGTGAAGAAAATAAATGCCTGCACATGTGCAGCCTATGAAAAAATTAACATTAGAGAGCCTCATGAAGAGCTATTCATTACAGGGCAATAAAGCTCCTGACCTGTTCTATGCTCCGTAGCACAGTACATTCAGTCTCTTGAGTTCCTGGCACTCAAAGTTTAATTTTTTATTGAGGTAAAATTCGTATAACATCAAATTAACCATTTTCAAGAACCAATTTAATGTCATTTAGTACATTCATTATGCAACTACTACCTCTATCTAGTTCCAAGGCATTTTTATCACCCCATAAGGAAAATGTTACCACTAAGCCACCATTTCCCTTCCCTTCTCCCCTCCCACTGGCCACAGCCTTGGCAACTACCAGTGTGCTTTCTGTCTCTGTGGATTTAACTATTCTGGATGGCTTCATATAAAAGGAATCACATGACTTTATGTGACTGGGTTCTTTCATTTGGCATGTTTTTGAAGTTCCCTCATGTTGAAACATGTTTTGCATTTTGCTCCTTTTTATGAACAATAGGAAATGAATAATACAAATAATATTCCACTGGGTGGACGTACCACAAATACCACAAACTATATGTTCATCAGTTGACAGGCACTTTGATTGTTTCTACTTTTTGGATATTCTGAATAACACTGTTATAACCATTTGTGTGCAAATATTCATTTGAAGATCTCTTTTCAGTTCTTCTGGGTATACAGCTAGGGGTGGAATTGCTGGGCCACATGGTAATTCTATCAAAGTTTCATTTTGATTCTGGTTTTGAACAGGCTTCTTAAAACAGCATGAGATTAATAGCTTGCTGCCAGCATTACCTTGTCTCTAAAGTCAGCGTGGTTCTGGAGGATGGCACTGCGGTAAGTGGCTGTCCTCACGAAATCTTGCAGCATGTTTTGCTGCTGGGAAATGCAGCCATAAAACTGTAAGGGAAAAAGAAGGGGGACAAAGAAGTGCCTTCATGAATGCATGGTTCCTAAAGCCTTGGTTAAGGCAGGAATAGCCCTTAAGTCACAAGGAAACTGAGGCTGAGAGTGACACAGTGGCCTGGGCACACTGGCTTATTTGTGAGGTGTGTAATTCTAAGGAGAACTCACACTTCTGAGTGCTGCTCCACGTAATAGATTCATGCCTTGATGCTGATGGATAGGTGCCTAGGGTCCCATCTCAAAGTAGAGGCGATGACAGAGCACAGATCAGTTGTGTGAGAGAGGAACCAAAGCCTAAAAGGACATGCTGCCTAGATGAGCCCCATCCACCTAGAGAGAAACAGAACTTAACCCAAGTCTTCAGTGAAGTGGGACAGAAGGTGGTGATGGTGATCCTGATGGAAACAGAAATGAGCCAGTTGTGTGATATGAAACATCTAAATTATAAACACTGAGTAATAAATATCATCATTATAATTGTCATCACTCTATAGAGCTTTCTATATGCCAGGCACCATGCTAACTGCATCACCCAATCAAATCAAATAACCATAACAATCAGATGACATGTGTTCTTTGTCTGAAGAAACTGAGACTCAGAAAGACACAGCAATTTGCCCAATTCCTGACAACTTTCTAAGTGACAGAGTGGGAATTTAAACCCTGGTGATGAGACTGCTGCTGCTGGTCTGGGGCTCGTGCCTTGAGAGTCACTGAGGTAGAATATCAGTAGTGTCCTCGCCACCCATCCTCCCAGGTATGTCCACAGGTGTGTGTGTGTCACCTAAATGTATTAGATCCATCCAGGGCAACTTTCCTGACCTGGAAATACTGTACAGCAGATGCTTCTTCTGTCCGCTGGCTGAACACTGAGTATTCCTTTTTCTGACTCTGGCATGTTTTCAAAGTATTTGAAAATGCACTGAATTCTGCAAAGAGAAAAGCAAATCCATTTCTTCACCTTGGAAACCACAGAACTCATTGTTACTCTGTGTAAAAAAAATTTCTAGCTGTGAAAACATTAGAAGATGAAAATGGCACATTCATCCCTGAGCACACTCACGATAAGGAATGGCAAGGTGGAAATGGGTACTACTCTGAGGGTGACACCCTTATTTACACGTCTAAGGCACATTTGCATTCAGAAATGGCAAGTGAGAGAGCACAGTGGGCCACAGGCAGAGACAGGGCTCCTCCAGCTCTCCTGTTATTGTGCTCATGTAGTTCCCAGACTTAACGCTCAGTATTGTGTATGGCTCGAGGGAAGGCAATTGTTGATGATAAGAAAAAGTGAAAAATCTATCTGCAAATAGAAAAACAGTATATATATATTCTTTCTATCATCATAATAGGAGGATTTTTCTCTCTCATTTCATACTCTCTAGCTGTACAGAGAAAAGGTAAAATAACTGGAGATATGTGAGTGCAAGGGAATGCATTCTATTATTTGTAAATAAAATATAGAAATGAAACCAAAAAAAAATTCCAGAAGTGGTATTACTGCTAACAGCACAGACACAGTTGCCAAATTCTGTGACTTTTGCCTCCGAAATATCTCTCAGTTCTGCCCAGCTGTCTTCACCATCTGTGTCCCTCATCTAAGCACTGTGACCAGGTCCTCCCTGATAGCCCATGGCTGGGACACCTATTCCCACACATTCTTGGTTAACAGTAAGTCCCAGCCTTTTCTGTTCTAGACTCAGCCTCTCACATTCCTATCAGTCCCTGCCCCGAAACCTTCTACTCCCACTCTTCCTGTGTACAGGAGACTGACCTGCACCACACCCTGGGCACTCCTGCCATGCTGAATGCTCCCAAATTCTCACATCAACCCAGTCCTGCCTGGGCCTCCTGACTTTGAACTACTTTTTTGTTCTGTAGGATGATCTTTTAATATCAAACTCCTGTCCCGCTTCCCAGAGTCCACGCAACTAGCATTTCCCATTTCTGTACTCTGGAACACCACAGGGAGTATTAGTGGGTGTGATTTAGTGGATTCCAACACTCACCTACAAATCAGAATCACTCGGAAAGATTTTTCCACCTATGGATACTGGGCTCTTGGCCTACACCTGGTAATTCAATGTCTTGGTAATGGGTGCAAGGCATTTCTCTTTTTTAAAAGCCTCTAAATGTCTCACTTATAATGTGGGAAGAGAATCTTCAACCCCATGCTCTCCACTTCATACCATACTACTTATTTTACTGAATTTACCAATTTTTTAAAAATTTCCATCTGCTGTCAGCATTACCTGACTAATGCCAACTCACTTGACATTGGGAAATGACTTTTAAATTATTTTATTTTAATTTCTATTTGTAATTTATTCACTTAAATTGCATATATTTGCCATGAACATCATGATATTTTTAAATTACATATATGAATAAACCTGTTTAAATAACACAAAACAAATTTCCATCTCTAGACCTAAATCAAGCCCTTTTAAAATAATGTTTAGATGGTCACGTGTTATTTATCTCTGGTTTCCAGAACATATTGCTAACGCAGAAGATATCTAACAAATAGGTCTGAAATGTAAGTTGGATACATTTAGAGAAATAACTAATGAACTTGGTGAAGCTATTTTTAATTGATGAGGCAGTCCTGTGAGACACTCAGGCTGTGGCACCTAGGAGCAGGTAGGTTGATACAAAGATGTTGGTGGAGAAGATGCAACTGTTACTCCTCTTGCACAAAGGAATACTGTGTACCCAGGAGACCTAGAGGGGGATAAAGGGAGGAATTCATAATGGAAAAATAAATCAGAGTGAGATTTGCAATGTAGCTGAGCGATCACTGTTTCACTAACTTGTGAGGGCTCATCCCCACTGATAAACTCTCATTTAATTAGTGCTTCCATGTGAATCTCTCTTCTATGTGGGTCTTTTGGTTAAAAATTCATCTCCATTATGAAATGTTCTGTGAACTCTTTATCTTCTGCAATTTTTCCCACATAAAGGAAAGGATGCAAATAATGATTTGAAAGTAATTACAAAACCAACACAAAATGTCTACAACATTTAGAAAATGCAATAAACAAAAAAATCCCATTGCTCCAGTGATTATCTTTAGTATTTTGATGTATGTTCTACTGATGTAGGAGGAGGGCTCTGTGTGTGTAAAAATGCCTATTTTTTATAAAATTGAATATTATTTTATAGCCAGTGTTTTTCACTTATGATACCATGAATAACTTCCCAGATAATTATGTGGTCTCCTCCACTTTACTATTAATAGATATATGGTTTCAACTTTTATGGATGTGGCATAATTTAACCAATTCCCTCTGGTTAGATTCCTGATCTTCACTATATATCCACTGTATCAGAATGTCCCTGGTGATCCTGTTGACAAGACAGTTTTGAGAACTCTAATTAATAGAATATGGTAGCATTCATGTAAGAATTCCACATTACAGTAAAAAAGAGATGTTATTCCTTCACATCACCTTCCTACACATAAAATCAGTATGTTAATCAATATTTCTGCTTTTGTGTGTATTTTTCTTTTGACTATTTTCTTTTGCTATTTAAAAAAAGTCTATAATGTAACCATACATAATTTAGAAATGCAGAAGATTGAGCCAAGAAGGAAAAATAATTCCCAAGCGCAAACACTAATAACCTCGGGAATCTCCCAGAAAAATTCTTACGTATTTATATCCATCTCTATATTACTTACAATAGTGTGGTACTCTACTGTTTCACAACCTGCCTTTTCACTGAACAATATTATTACTATCTTTTCCTGTGTCAACACATTTCTCATAACATCACCTAACTGCACAAACTGTTGTAAAGTCCCTTAATTATAGTGTCATTTTGTTCTTGTTTCCCCAATTTGTTCTCAGAAACATCAGAGCTAAGTAGATCTTAATATTTTTGACTATGTGCCCTCAAATTGTAGACCTTAGTATTTGCTTATCGAACTCTACTGGGGAGGGGGAGTGAAAACACTGAATCTGTCAAACTACAATTTCTTGTATTTGCAGTTTTCTCCGTCAAAGAGATATTAGGCAATATTTTTCCCAGCTTTGGTCTCCTGGCACCTCTCCAGCTCTCTCTGAGTTCTCAGAGATTGCCCGCAGTGTTTCTTGTCATCCATCTGCGAGTTCTTTGAGTCCTGGGCATCTCGGTTGTTTGGGCTTTCAAAAGCTATGGTAAATTAATTTGTTCAACAACTAGTCTTGTGAATATTCTCTGTAGTCATGGTTCTCCATCTTTGGGGACAAGGGTGGGTTATTAACACAGCAAAAATAACGGTTGCCTAATCCGGTGAATGGAAAATTGAAAAGTATTATTTTTCATTAAAAAACAAGATTTTTTTGTATACCCTTTTATTGGTACACTTCAGGTGTACAATAAAATGGCATTCATCATTGGAGATTTACACCTTTACATAATGTCTCTTGGTTCTTATTTTTCCCCCTTCCCCTGCCCTCCCTCCAACCCCTCCATCCCTCCCTATTTACAAAGACTTT